CAGGGAGTAAACACTTTTATTATGTGTCATAAAAACACACTATTAATGTGATTGGTCAATAGAGCTGGGAGAAGGCCTACGGTTTAAACTTGGTCCTCCATTTTTGACCTTAGGTCTGTGTCTGGCTCATATTTCATCTTCTGCACCTTCTGGACATCTACCAGTCATAGGAGATAACTCTTCCAACTTCACTATGACAACAGTCTCTTGTCCTCCTTTCAAGCCTGTAGAAGTAAAGAGAGGGGAAAGAGAGACAAAGAGAGCGAGAGGGAGAGACAGAAAGAGCTCTACCTAACACCAGAATTTATAGGCCTGTTTTTCCTTTCGTGAGGACAGACTGCAGAAAGGTACAAAATCAGCCAAGTCCCATGCTTAATTTCCAGCTTTGGCAGATTTCCCATCTAAAATATGCATCTATTGACATTGCTGATGTCTATAAACAGTACATTAAATTCCATTTCATATAGCTTTTAATTCCTGTCAGAGGACAAAGGGTGACAAGTTAGGGAAGACCTGGTAGGCACTTGGGAGAGCAAGCAAAGTACTAATATGAAAAGCAGGATTAGTCAAATGAACTGCTGGCTGAATTTAAAAGGAAAATGAAACGCACATAAAGGTCAATTTACATCACTGAGCCCTGCTCTTAAAAGCTGACAGAGATGTAACACTGTCTGTGTTTTTCCGAAATTCTCACAGACAGTGAGAATTGTCATGTGTCATGTGTATGATTTAATTTCCCCTTTAAGAGAGAATAAATATAATTAAGTGATACAAATTCTAATTTGTATATATATTTGTATTATTGTTATTATTGTATTATTATCATTTCCCAGTAATTACAAAAGCCCACAACATGGATATGTTACTGAGCTATACCCCTCAGCTGAATGATTTGTTAAAGCTTGCGTAGTTGATTGAAAGTAAAACTATCTTAAAAAGTGTTCAGAGTTTAAATAGCAGTAACTCATCTGACAGTACATGATATAGGGGCAGTTTTATTCGACTGACACATTAAGTATACTCCTGACTGCAAAGTGCGTCTGGGCAAGATAAATGGTTACAAATGACAATAACCAAATAAAGGAATTACCAAACAAAACAAACAAACAAGCAAGCAAAATAAACAAGAAGCACTTTGAGAGTGAAATGCCCAGGTAGTCTATATCTTGGGATACAGAGTCTATATCTTGGGATACAGCCAGAACAGGTGAGCTATCCAGGGTGTATCCCAACTCTGTGACAACTGGGATAGGCTCCAACACCCCTGTGACCTGTGGGAATTTTGCTTAATCACTGAACATTAATGGGAGATGCTTAGATGAACTTTACATATTGCTCTGCTAACAGAATGATGTGCTCCCTGTTCAGAAGGATAAAAACAGCAGTCTCACGGTGTGAAAGATTGCATAAAAAAGATACAGGTGGAAAAGGAAGGACACCGCTCACACTTACAGAGCACATTAGAAACTAGATTAGAGAAGAGGCAACAAAGAAAATGTATCTAATGGACAGAACAAAGGACAAAAGAAGAGTGTATGTGCGTTATCTTGTTTTGCAGGCAAATGCTCATGTGAGGTGAACCCAACACAAAGAAGACCGGAGACTATTGCCTTATCAGTAAATACCCAAGAGACAACCAATCACAACACTGTGGGGCGATCGTGGCTCAAGAGTTGG